CATCTTGGAAGCAAGACCTCCAGCCCTAGTCAAGCCTTCAGATGACTGCAGCCCCAGCTGAAATTTTTGCTGTTGTTAATCCTCACTTGAGAATATTTTTTCCATTGATTTTTAGAGAAGGTGAGGGGGGAGGGAGGAGAGAGAGAGAGAGAAACATTGATGTGAGAGACACATCAATTGGTTGCCATCCACACGATCCCAACCAGGGCCGGGGATGAACTGCAACTCAGGTACGTGCCTTTAGCGGGAACCAAACCCGGGACTCTCTGGTCCACAGGCCAACGCTCCAACTGCTGAGCCAAACTGGCCAGGGTAGAACTTCACCTCTTTGTACCTGTTTCTCTACCTGTAAAATGGAGATGGGACTACTGGGTTCCTTCTTCACAAGGCTGCTGTTGGGAGGAATGCAGGCTGGCCCAGAAAGGCCCTTGGTCTATATTTCCTTGAAAAAGGGCAACTGTGACCCCTGGATGTGAGTTTTAGCTTCACTGAGCACAGATGAGGGGCATGATGAAGGGCCTGTCATCCTTGGCTAAGAGGGAAGCCAGAGACCTGGGGACAAAGCCCTTCTTGGCCACCTCATGCCTTGCGACTTAGTGATGCAATTCCCTACTTCTAGTCTGCCTCAGTTTCCTTTCTTATAAAATGGGAATGACGATACCTGGCTTAGATGGCAATGAGGAAAGGTCAATAGATACGATCAATAAACCAAACATAGCGATTAGTGTCAGCATTGTTAAAAATAACTACAGCATGCCCTGGCCGGTTTGGCTCAGCGGTTAGAGTGTCAGCCTGCGGTCCAGAGAGACTGGGTTCAGTTCCCGCTAAGGACATGTACCTCAGTTGCAGTTTGTCCCCGGCCCTGGTTGGGTCGCGCGGGTGGCAGCCACTTGATGTGTCCCTTTCACGTCAATGTTTCTCTCTCTTTCTTTCTCTCTTCCTCTCTCTCTCTCCTGCTCTATCTGAACAAAAAATGAAAAAATGTCCTCAAGTGAGAATTAAAAAAAAAAAAAAAAAAGCAAATAAAATAACTACAGCAGGCCCAGCCTGTGTGGCTCAGTGGATTGAGTGTCGCCGCATGGACTGAGAGGTCCCAGTTTAATTTTAATTCCTAGTCAAGGCACATGCCCAGGTTGCAAGCTCTATCCCCAGTAGGGGGCGAGCAGGAGGCAGTCAATCAATTTCACATCCATGTTTCTCTCTCCCTTCATTTCTCTAAAAAATCAATAAAAAGCCCTGGCGGGTTTGGCTCAGCAGTAGAGCATAGGCCCGTGAACCAAGAAGTCGTGGGTTCAATTCCAGTCAAGGGCATGTATCTCGGTTGCAATTCATCCCCGACCCTGGTCGGGGTCGTGTGGGAGGAAACCAGTCGATGTGTCCTTCCTCTTCCTCTCTTCCCCTCCCATTCTTTCTGAAGATAAATAGAAAAATATCCTCGTGTCCTCCAGTGAGGATTTAAAAAAAAACACACACAAAAAAAACAATAAAAATATATTTTAAAAAAATAACCACAGCAGGATGGGATCTACCAAGAAGGGGTTAGAACCAAAGCCTCTTAGCAGCCTCAGGGGAACCTGCAGAGAGCAGGACCGTTCCCAAGCAGGGGTCAAATGACCTGTGCATCTTTGCCTTGATTCATGGACCTCCCCGAAAAGCAGTCACCTTTTCAGTTGTATCCTCTGGCCTCATAAAGATATCATAGCTTAAGACAGAAGCCACCCGACCAGGTAGTTCAGTGGGTTCGATCCTTGGTCAGGGCACATAGAGGAATCAACCAATGGATCCATAAATAAGTGGAACAACAAATCAGTGTTTCTCTCTCTTCTTCCCTCCCTTCCACTCTATCTAAAGATAAATGGGAAAATATCCTTGAATGAGGATTTACATAAAAGGACACAAGCCAGCCCTGGCTGGTGTGGCTCGGTGTTTTGAGTGTGGACCCATGCACCAAAAGGTCACCAGTTCGATTCCCAGTCAGGGCACATGACAAGGTTGTGAGCCAATCCCCACAGGGGCATGCAGGAGGTGGCCAATTGAGGTTCTCTCTCATCAATGTTTCTATCTCTCTCTAAAAAATCAATAAAAAAGAAAGAAAAGACACAAGCCAAAGCTGCCGGCTTCATCATTCTCCCACTGTCTCTATCCAATCTGAACTTGTCACTCAACCAGCGTCTCCATGCCCCCATTTCTCTAACCTCTCTCTGTATCTGTCTGTCCCACGTCTCTCTGGTGTCTGCCCCTTTCCTTTCTGGATCTCTGTCCCCCCCTCTTTGGGTTTCTGCCCTCTACTCTGTCCACCTCCAGCTTTCTCTCCTGATGTAGCTCAGTGCTGAGTGCCGCTGTGTGTCCTTCCTGTCCCCACCTTCTCACTGCTGCATGTACTCAGAGGTGTTGGCTGTTATTACTGCCATTTCAGGGATACGGAACCTAAAGCCTGCTAAGAGGCTGATGCTCCCCTCCACCCCCACAGCGAGCTGGCGGCTGCATCGGCCCTTGATCCTGGCTGCCCAGGGCTCTTTCTGAGGTGTCACCATCCACGGGGGACGTGACTCAGAAATAGCTCTGGTGGGAAGCAAACCTTTGCAAGTGCTACCCAAGCTGCACTCAGACAGAGAAGGAAAGTGTTCTGGCTGGGGGAGGGGATGTCTTCCAGGCCGGCCATCCGCCGGACTGTGCCTGCCCGGCTCCCTTCTCTCCATCTTGTCCTCCTACCCTGGACCCTCGCCCAGCCTCCTCTCATTCATCCTGCCTCCAGTCTCTGCCTTTCAAAGGTCTCCCACCCAGCCCCAGCAGAGTCTCCTCCGGAGAGAAAGGACTTTTGCTTTAGCGTCAGTCACCCTAGGTTTCTAGGGCTGACCTTGTTTCTGAGAAGCTCTCTGAACCTACAGCGGTCACTCTGCCTCTCCAGGCCTGTTACTTTTTTTTTTTTTTTTTATCCTCACCCGAGGACATTTTTCCATTTTTTGTACAGATAGAGTGGGAGGGAGAGAGAGGAAGAGATAGAGAGAGAGAAACATCGATGTGAAAGGGACACATCGAGTGGCTGCCACCCGCACGACCAACCAGGGCCGGGGACAAACTGCAACCGAGGTACATGCCCTTAGCGGAAACCGAACCCGGGTCTCTCCGGACCGCAGGCCAACGCTCTAACCGCTGAGCCAAACTGGCCAGGGCCAGGCCTGTTACTTTTGTTTTCATCCTTTAACAGGTAATGACAGCCCCTCCCTTACAGAACTTCTGAGGACAAGGAGATCCCCACCTTAGGGATATGCACAGTGCATATAGTAGGTGCTCAGTAAACGGGAATGGAGCCAATACTTTAAGTTGCTCCTCTCTCCCCTGCTCATGAACCCTCAGTGGCTCCCCATTGACCTCAGGAGAACACCCACCTTTCTCAGTCCGTGTAGCCTGTGGACTAACTTGCAGTTATCCCCATTCCTCAGGTCCTTTTCCATCCCTGTCCCTTTGCGCATCTTCCTGCTAGCCAGGACACCCGTCTTCTGCTTGGGGAACACCTTCCTCGTCTTCGAGATCCAGTTTGTGTTTTGCCTTTTCTGGAAAGCCTTCCTTGGCCAGGGCTGGCTGGGCCAAGGCCTCCCTTTCTAAGGCTCCCACAGTGACCTCACTGCCCCCCACCAATGCAGGGTGCTCTCTACCTGACTCCTAAGCCTGGCTCCATGACTTACAAGCTGTGTAACCTTGGATGTACTCTTTAACCTTTTAGGACCTCAATATGTTCATGTGTGAAATGGGGGTAGATGAAAATAACGATAATAGCAAGCGACACTTATTCTGTGTTTACAGATGGCTGACTGTGCTAAACATTTTGCATGAATGAACTGCACTTCGTTGTCATGACAACAGTGTGAAGTGGGTATGGTTATATCCAGAACTCTGCCTTGGATGCTGCTATATTTACTGGTTTTGTTTTGAAGATTTAAGAAAATTGATTTTGAGAGATAGAGGAAGAGAGAGAAACGTCGATGTGAGAGCAACACATCCACTGGCTGCATCCTGCACGCCCCCTGCCTGGGATGGAGCCTGCAACCTGGGCCTGACCAGGAATCCAACCAGCAACCTGTCAGCGCAGGGGAGGCCGCCCAGCCAACCGAGCCGCACAGCCAGATGAGCCTGGTTATCGTTAGTATAATTCTCAGTGGTGGGGGTGAAGGGGGTTACTGGGGGGAGGGTAACAGGACCAAGCTATAGTAGTCTATTGTTCTGTTGAGAATTCTCTCAATTCTTGTAGATCTTGCTCACCTCCCAGTTTTGCCCCAGATTCTTTGGTAAGCCCTCAGAGAACTCCTACTCCTCCGTCAAAGCCCAGTTCTTTTTTTTATTTTTTTATCCTCACCAGAGGACATTTTTCCATTTTTTGTTCAGGTAGAGTGGGAGGGAGGGAGAGGAACAGAAAGAGAGAGAGAATCATCGATGTGAAAGGAACACATCGAGTGGCTGCCACCCGCACGACCGACCAGGGCCGGGGACAAACTGCAACTGAGATACGCGCCCGTAGCGGGAACCGAACCCGGGTGTCTCAGGACCGCAGGTCGACGCTCTAACCACTGACCAAACCGGCCAGCAAAGCCCAGTTCTAACACTGGCACCTCCAGGAAGCTTTCCCTCATACCCCCAGCCTGGTTTGAGGGTCCTTTCTCTGGGATCCCCAGTGTTACCTCCATTAAGGAACGTATACCCCCCAGTCTGTGTCTGTCACCCCCACCAGACTGGGAGTTTTTCCAGGGCAGGGACCTGTCCTGACTCCTGTGTTCCAGGCCTTACCAGGACATTGGGAAGTGACCGGATGAACTAAAGACCAACTCCCAGGCAGTAGCATCATTCACCAGGGACGGAACAGAGTCATGGCTGGCCACTAGGGGAGGAGGCGACAGTTCCTCCGGGCTTTGAAGAGTGACCAGAATCACAAAGACACCCCTCCATCCTCAGTATTTGCCTACCACCAGGCTGAGGACTGTCTTCCCCAGCTGGGAGCCCCTCACCAGTATTTCCGTGATATCTGGGTCATCTGGAGCCCAGGGTGGGGTGGGGGAGGCAGGGGGCACAGGCAGTGCCAGCGAGCTACTGTCGTCCGTAGTAGAGTCTGTCACGGAGGAGTCGGTGGGCTCCACAGCGGCCAGGTTGAGCAGGGACACATTGGTGCAGGCCGAGGACCGTTTGAGGTTCAAGCACCAGTGCATTGGCTCGTGGGACATCCGAGGCTCCACCCTGGTGGGGAGAGACAGGCAGGAGGGTCAAGGGGTAGCCTCCGTGGAGTAGGACCCCTCCTGCCTCCCTGTCTCCACATCCCCTAGTCTCTGACTCCAACCCCACCGCCTACTTTCTGCTTCCTTTAATGCCCCCTCTTCTGACTTTTTCCTTGCCTGCCTCTCCTCTGCCCCCTTCTCATCTCCCTGTCTTCTTCCTCCAGCACCCCCGGTGAGACTCGCGCTCTGTTGGAGGCAGTGTTGGGTGCTAGGACCATAACAGACGGTGCTACAAACCCACCCATGGAACGACACGGCCTTCTTTTTCTTCGAGATCCCCTTGGCTGGGCTGGTCACCCCCCCAGGAGCCTTGGGAACCATCTGGGAGTGGCTCTCGACCCCCGCGGGGGGGTCCCCAGCCTCGTGGATCTCTTTGGACTGCCAGATTGTCTTCACCACCACGCTGGCCATGGCGTGTGGGGGCCCTGCTCCCAGTGTCTCCTTCCTCTGAGACTCTCCACCTATTCTGAGCGCGGCCCTCAAAGTTCCGGTCTCCACAAGCCTGTCTCATAAAGGACCCGACCACTGGGCCTCATTAAGGGGGGGGGGGCAGGGAAAGAAGGAGGTGCTGGCTCAGCATGTTCCCCCAGGGGGTCCCAGTGAACTCTTCTTGTCCAGATTCTAGTTCTACCCCCATAAGTCCCTCCCCTTCAGAACCTCAATGGAGTTATTCACTCTAGTCCAGAACTTGGGAGGGGTCCAACTTCCCTCTCCCAGAGAGTCTCCGTGGGGTCACTCAGCCCCCCACATTTATACTTGATTCTTCAGGCAATACTTTGGGCTTGGCACTTTCCCTGGGTCTGGGAGACGGTGGTAAAGGAGGATGGAGCCCAGCCCTGGAAGATCTAACATTCACTGAGGGGCTAGGAGGGTGCCCGCAAGCAATCGACAGAAACACACAAAAAGGCCAGGTGTCGGTAAGTGATCTAAAGAAAATCCAACCCAGGTGATAGCGGCGTGGGCATCTGTCAAAGCGATTTGATTTGTATGCCGGGGATTCGAGCATTTTATTGTGTGAGTTTTGCCTGTTAAAAAAATTCTAAATAAACATGGAATTATAGGGAATGGTAGGCATTGAAGGATCTGTATTAGTCTCCTGAGGCTTCTGAAACAAAGTACCACAGATGGGGAGATGAAACCACAGAAATATATTGTCTCTCCATTCTGGAGGCCGGAAGTCCAAGATCAGGGTGTGAGCAGCGATGGCTCCTTCTGAGGCTGTGAGGGAGAATCTGTGGCAGGAGCAGGCCCCTCCCCTTGATTCTGGTGACCCTCAGGCATCCCCTGGCTTATGGACAGCCATCTTCTCCCTGTGTCTTTTTTAAAAAAATTTTTCTTTATTGATTTTTTAGAGAGAGGAAGGGAGAGGGAGAGAGAGATAGAAACATTGATGAGAGAGAACATAGGCCGCCTCCTGCATGACCCCCACTTGGAGATCTGGCCCACAACCTGGGCATGTACCCTGACCTGGAATTGAACCAGCGACCTCTTGGTGCATAGGTCGACACTCAACCACTGAGCCACACCAAACGGGCTCCCTGTGTCTTCATATTGGCTTCTCTCTGCCCCTGTCTACCTGTGTCCAAGTACCCCCACTTTTTTTTGGTTAATCCTCACCCGAGGATATTTTCCATTGATTTTTAGAGAGAGTGGAAGGGATGGAAGTGGGAGTGGGGGGGGGCGGAGATTAACATCGACCTGAGAGAGACACACTGACTGGTTACCTCCTGCACATGCTCCAGCTGGGGTGGGGATGGAAAATGTAACCTAGGTACATGCACTTGACCAGAATCGAACCTGAGACCCTTTAATGCCCAGGCAGATGCTCTAACCACTGAGCAACACTGGTCAGGCAGGGCAAGTTTCCCCCTTTTTAAAGATACAGTCATATTGGTCAGGGCCCACCCAAACGACCTCATCTTAGCTTGATCATCTTCCAAGGCCCTATTTCCAGTGAGGTCACATTCACAGGTCCTGGGAGTTAGGATTTCAACATCTTTAGGGGTCACAATTCAACCCACAACAAATGCAAAAAAAATGTCCTCGAGTGAGGATAAAATAAAAAAAAAAAAAGAAAGAAAATTTCTATACTGCATATTAAAATTTTTCATTTTGTTCTTTTCTATTAAATTTATTGGAGGTAACATTGGTTAATAATAGATAGCATTCAGCTGTACATTATAATTCAATATTTGCATACTCTTGTAAGCTCACCACCCAAAGCCATTTAGTTTCCTTTCGTTACCGTATGTTACACATTTTTTAAAACTAGATAATGGCCCTGGCCGGTTTGGCTCAGTGGTTGGAGCATCGGACTGCAGACCAAAGGGTCAAGGGTTTGATTCTGGTCAAGGGCACATACCTAGGTTGCAAGTTTAATCCCTGGTCCCATTCTCTCTCACATCGATATTTTTTTTTCTCTCTCTCTCCCTCCCTCCCACTCTATCTAAAAAACTCAATGGAAAAATATCCTTGGGTGAAGGTTTTTTAAAAAATTATTAAACTTTTTCTTTTTTGCATTTATCTTAAGATAGAGCTGGAGGGAGAGATTGAGGAAGAGAGAAACATCTGAGAGACACATTGAGTGGTTGCCACCCACACGACCCCAACTGGGGCCGGGGACAAACTGCAACCGAGGTACGTGCCCTTAGCGGGAACCGAACCAGAGACTCTCTGGTCCACAGGCGGACGCTCTAACCACTGATCAACAAGCCAGGGCATCCTTTTACTTTTTTTTTAAATCCTCACCTGAGGATATTTTCCTATTTATCTTGAGATACAGTGGGAAAGAGAGAGAGAAACATCGACGTGAAAGGGACACATAAACTAGTTGCCTCCTGCAGTACCCTGACCAGGGCTGGGGACAAACTGCAACCGAGGTAGTGCCCTTGACCGGAATGGAACTGGCTACTCATTGGTCTGTGGGACAATGCTCTAACACTGAGCAAAACCGGCCAGGACATCTTTTTACTTTTCTAAATAATGTTTTTTATTGATTTTTTAGAGAGAGGGAAGGAGCGAGATAGAGAAACACAATTGGCTGCCTCCTGCACGCCCCCTACTGGGGATCATGTTGGCAACCCCGGCCTGTGCCCTGACTGGGAATTCAACCGCTGACATTCAGGTGCCTGGGCCGGCGCTCAGTCCATTAAAGCCACACAGGCCAAGGCTTTACTTTTTTAAAAAAATGTTGCTGGAATAAATTGGAAATCGTATCTGTGGTTCCCACTGTATTTTCAGTGGCAAGTGCTGCTCTAATTCAACAGGGGTAAAATCCAATAGCTCCTGTAGGTGGCACCACACAAGGTCAAGCAGTCCCAGGTTTTCCAGGTTAAATCCTCCTTAATCTGATTCCCCATTAGACCTCAGAATGCCTTTGCCTTAGGCCCAGTTTTAAAAATTAAGTTTGGGCTAATTCATGGGCTCGGGAGAGGGTTTGGACCGTGTTCCCCCATCTTTCCACAACAAAACCCGAGTTAACTCCATCTAGTCCCAGGAGGACTCTAGGCAAAGGGTTGGAAATGGTGGGTCACAGGGAGGTGGAGAGTTATCCTCAGGGAGAAAGTGCTTTCTCCAGGTCAGGAATGGCCTCCTCCAGTCCTTGAGATTCTTACTAATATCTTCCACAAAAAGGACTCTTTCCTGGTCCTAATGACTTTTGTTGTTATTGTTCTTTTTAATGGTGCCGTTCTAGTTCTTTAGGGGCAGACAGCACCCCGCTTTCCAACCCTTATTAGGAATGGACCCTCTTGGTTACTAAAACAGCTGAGCGATGTCTGTCCTCCTAGAATCCATAATGGACTTTCCCAAGCCCTGTTCCGGAAAACCCAAATGGGCGGATCCATTGAACCTGGAAGGTGAGCTATTCTCACCCTCATTTCTATCCCCCCCCCCGGACTCGGAATGGACCTTGCCAGGAGCCAAGACACTCCCTCAAGGCTCATTCCAAGAATACCAGGCTTCAGAAATTAGAAAAGGGTGGTGGTTGGGTTTAGTTCCTCCGGTGACAGAAATGGACTCTTCCACTACCCTTTGCTCCAAATTTCTCCATGGCCAGGGGCGGGTACAGTTCCGGAAGCTTGGCCTTCCCCAAAGCCAGTCAACCAAAGCGGGTCTCTGGGGGCGCTGAAGGGTGGTGATTGGGCCAAACACAACAGATCCACCTATTCCTTCCTTTTAACCAGCATTCTTCAATAGCAGGTCGCATTCGTGTGTGTGTGTGTGTGTGTGTGTGTGGTATGTGCCCCTAGCGGGAACCGAACCTGGGACTTTCCGGTCCGCAGGTCGACGCTCAACAGTTGAGCCACACTGGCCAGGGCTCAGGTCGCATTCTTACTGAGGAGCTCTAAGTCTGGTGAAGGAGAGACTCACAATTTTGACTTGATATCTGTTTAATGGCGATATGATTGGGGGGGGGGGCACTGTATATTGACAAGAGATTAAAAGCCAAAATATAGTTTAAATCTTGCTGACACTTCCTAGCTGTGTGACCTTGGGCAAGAAATTCAGCCTCTCTGGATCTCAGTTTTAACATCCGCTTAATGGGAATGAGATACGAATGACCGTTTCCTCTGCCCTGGGATTCTTTTTCTAACAAAGTTAGGTCTCGACTTCGCTGCCGCTAGATACAGGAAGAGGAGAGGATAGCGACGCCTTCTTGGAAGAAAATTTAAGAATTCTGAGGGTGGAGGAGATTAGGGAGAAAGGGGAACAGAGAGACGCGTGCGCAGTAAACACCTCACGCTTTCTTGCCCCTCCCATACCCTTCTCTGCAGCAGGGAATTGCAGGCGACACTCCACCTATCCCAGCCCAGCTGAATGACACTCTCCCTTCTCCACCTTTCATCTCCCTCCAACCGCCCACATAACCGCCCAGTTGGGGGCGGGAGTAGGATAGGTCTGGCGAATCCGAGACGCCTGCGGGGGCGATCTCCTCGTCCATTGGTCCCAGCCAGCGCAAGTCTCTCCTCCTCAAGCCCGTTCCCCCGCCTTCCTTCACGTCAATCCCTGCCTTGCGGGAGAGCGTCCCGATCCAATCACTATCTGACCCGGCCGCGCGGAGGGGGCGGTCCCACAGTACGTAATCGAACTCCGCCCGTCTTTTGGGCAACTCCTCCCTCCCAAACGGAAATAGCGGGGCGCAGGACCAATCGTAGCAGCGTGCCTTTGTCCTGAGGCCAATGAGCAAGGGAATGAGGGAGAGCCTGAGTCTGAGCGGCAGTAACCTGAGCCAATGGGCGGTGAGAGCTCCGGCGGCGGAGGGGAGGGGAGGGGCCGGGGGCGGTGCTGCGGCCTTCCAGCCCGCCCGCCCGCCAGCCGTGCTACCCCCCCTGCGGCCGGCTCCGCTCCTTGGCGTTGCCTGGGGTCCTTTTCCTCCCGGTCCCGGCTGCCAGCCCCCGCTGCGCTGTGCC